GTAGTGCTTGATAACATGATATTCAGTAGCTTTTGGTGTTATTTCTTTTTCTTTTTTTTTTTCCTTTTTGTCTTTTTTTTTCGTGACCAGCAACAGATCACAACCCTCAGTGTCGCGCCCGTACCGGACCGGGACCGGCAACGGGATCGCAACCCTAGGTGTTGCGCCCGCACCTCGCTCAGCCAGTGAGCGGCCAGTCTGTATGTGGGATCCGAACCCTCGGCGGGAGCGCCGCCGCACTTCCCAAGCAGCTGCACTGTAGCAGTGCGCCACCGGGCCGGCCCCATGGTGTTATTTCTTTACTCTGGAAATATCTGTTGTTGGTGCAATAAACTGACCTGAAGGTATAAAGTTGAATCAGATAATTTATGGAGTTTAAGGTATGAAGTAGAAAGAGAAGGGTGATCTTAGGGCTTTTAGTATTTAGTGAGGGGTGATCAGTGACCCTTCTTTAGGTACCTGTCCCTCTTGCACCTGGACAGTCCCTGAGATGCCCTCTGGAGGGGAGAGGATCTACAGGCTTCCCTGTATATGTGGGTCTGGATCATCCCCTACTTTCTAATCTGTAAAGTGAAGAAAATGTCGCATCTTGCCTATGTTACCAGGTTATTCTGAATTAGCATATCTGAGAACACTTTTTAAGCTAGAGCATGCTATGTTCTCGTGAAGCGGTGTTACTCCTGTTGTACTGTTTTTCTCTCTGCCAGCTGCTTTAGGCCATCCTAGTTTCTGAAACGGGAGTGTGGTAGACTTCCCTGGGAGCAAAGTGAGGCTAGCAAGTCACTGTAAAGTCTGAAGCATACTTGGAAGAACTAGGGTAGTAATTTCCTCTGAAAGATGAAAAAAACTAGACCCTTGGATCTACACTGACTTCTTGAAAGCAATGCCTTTGTCTTATACAGCTTTGTAACCCAGTGCCTTTTAAGTGTTCATAAATGTTAGTTTAACTGAAAAGATTACCCAAATTCAACTGAGCCATATATTCTCTGAGAAATAAAAAATTTAAGGGAAAAGTTACAGTGATAGGTTGGATGCCAGGGAAAAGTCTTCCAACAGCTCAACCAACAGACACTAGAACAGATCACAAGTTTATTCATTCAGCACTTTTTGAGTGCCTTCTGTGTGTCTAGGCTTATGTGTCTTTGCTATAATGCCCTCAACCCTACAGAACGTTAGGAATGGGCTGGTACTCTCTGAACCTGGACAGTCATTAATGGAGTGCATAGCCGAGATGACTGAACATCATCCACATGATCTCTCACGTTCCTGTTTCTTTGGGGTTCTGGGTAGTGGAGAATTAACCTCATGAAGAAACACTAAGAGTTATCTCACCCGATGTTGATTTATCATTGGTATTCTTTGGTGTCTCTGTCCCTCTGGTCCCCTCCTTATCTCCTGAGAGGCTCTGGACCCTTATGAACTACGTGTGTCTGTCTCATTAGGGATCCTCCCTTTCCTTTCTCCAATGGCCTGCCCCCTCCCTCCTGCCCCACTTGAGGGACTCCTCCCATGCAGAAGAGGAGCTCCGCATGGCCTATGCTTGCCAGCTCTACAGGGTTGGAAGGCTGACTCAGCCAACCCCGCCCAAATCTGACTTCGACACTGGAAGCAATTATTGGCAGTGGCCAAAGGGACATCTGCTCTGGTATCCAAGCCTCAAGCCCCCAGATTTCAAATTGAACACATTTTTCGAGGACATTTTACTTGGTATTGGTAAGGCGGAAAAGATGGTGGGAAAACATAGCATGGTGTTATGAGGAAAATATGGATTCAGAATCAAACTTTATTCTAATTCTAGCTCTCCCGCAACTCTCTGTTTGACTTGGAGCTTTCTTTTGACCTTAATTCTTTTAGGATTTCCTTTTAACATAGGAGAGTCACCCCTGGCCTGCCCAGCTCTGGTACAGTACTGCCCACAAACAGACGTATAAAAAATCCTTGTACTTTCAGAGGAAAGAAAGACAACACTGCCTTTTTTTTTGCTACTACTATTGTGACCATGAACTTGAAATTTTTTCCCCCTAAGGAGTTGTTGTTGGGAGGAGGCTACATAAGCCTTTCTCTAGTTCACTTAACACAGCTAAGGAACCTCATTGGGAATTCGTGCGGAGGAGGTGACGCACAGAGGGAAATTGGGTTTGTGTCAACCACGGCGGGTGCCATGTTCATGTCTCCAAGGCTAGGGAGATGTAGTTATGATGATGTTGGTAATGTTGACCGTGAGAGCAGCTGACGATTACTGGGCCATGTATTGGGCAAAGCGTTTTACATGGAGTATTTCATTATATTATATTTTCACGACAACCTTACGAGGTAGGTACTATTAGGGGCTCTGTTCCTTTTCTCAAGGCCGTAGTCTTCCGTTTAGCCACAACCCTTCTTTTCTGAAGTCTTGTTTCCCTAGCTTTAATTTAGTTTGATCCTAGATGGATCTTGTTTTTTTCTTACTACAAGAACAGTAGTAATTATTCATTTATTCATTAAGTGTTTGAGGATTTATGACCAACTGAACTGTGCTAAGTGTTATCTCATTTAATCCTTTCGTTAACCCTATTTAATGAGGAAAAACAGACTCAAAGAGTAATTTGCCTCAAGTGACATAACTGTAAATGGCTGAACTGGGATTTGAACCCAGACTCAACTACCTCCAGAACCCGAGCTATTGAGCTCTGTAATGTTTAGTGTGTACAGTAATGAAAATGTAAGTTAAGCTTCCTGCTTCAGAGAATAACGTTACAAAGAGAAGTGTCACAAGCTCCTTCTTGACTAGGCTGCCTCTGCACCACCCGAGTCCGTCCTTCTGCATGTAGTTGAGCCGGTTCGTGTGTCCTTCTGTGCCAGCCGGGGGTTCGGGCAGTGGCTGTTTGTGCCCCTTCCAGCTCTCTGCTTGCTTGGTGTCCTTGCCACCATGCTGCCTTGCAGAAGCCTCGGCTCACACGTGGCTTTGATTCTTTTCTTTTCAGGCCCAGCTTGGGACATTCTTCGCTTCCCTTCGCTTCCCCTCTGGGAGCCCCTTTCGCCACCCCTGCACCTTGCCTCGGGCGATGCTCGAGAGGGAGCTGTGGCCAGCGGGGCCTGGCTCGGAACCCGTGACCCGCATCGGCAGCTGTGACAGCATGATGAGCGCCACCTCCACCCGCTCTGGATCTGTATGTACTCTCCCTCCCGCAGCCTGGCCGCTCTCTGCACACCTGCCCTGCCCTGCCCACCCTGCCACCTGTCCTCGCTCACTGCACCTTCTCTTTCATCTTCCTCCTCATGGAGTGAATCACAACATCAGTGGGTGCTTTCTGCCTGAGTCACCCCTGGTTCTGCAGAGAATAGGGCAGGATAACCTCCAAGAGCAATAGGAACAATGAGACTTTTTTCCCCAATTTTCATTAGGTGGGGGGGTTCAGTTGAGGAGAGAGAGCAGGCCTGTGATAGGAGGTCATGGTAGAAAGCGGAATGTCGCTCCTTGTGGCACAAGGATTCTTGAAGTTCTCTGCAATGATCAGCGTCCCTTCAGCCTTTTACAAAGATCCAAGAGAATAGAGTTATTAAGAGCCTAGGTTCTGGAGCCACACAGGTCTGGGTTCTCCACTTATACGCTGTATGACCTTGGGCAAATAACTTCTCTAAGCATAAGTCTGCTCAGTTTTAAAATGGGGATGATATTAACACCTAATTCATAGGGTTCTTGGGGGAGTAAATGAGATACATATAAAGCACTTAGCACAGGCCTCTGTGTGGGAAAAAAGCTGCCTATCTAGGAGCAGAGAATGTTCCAAAGTCACTGGTTTAACTATTTGCAAGTGGCATGTATTTAAATCTCAGTTGTTGTAGGCTGGTGTGAAAGAGTAATCCTGTCCTATGTCCAAATGAAAGTATTCTTTGGTTGTTCGTACTTGTCATATGCATAGTAAGCCTGGAGAGTTTATACTTTATCACTTTATATTCTATGGAGGTATTTGAATATTTAAGAATTATGAAGATGTCTACTTAATATCAAGGATGTTTAATATAGTCAGGGTTTTGACATGTAAAAATGGGGTACAAAAAACAACACATATGCACGAATCCAAAGCATAGGTTTATACATAATTTCTTTTTGACCCTAGATGATGAGGCCACAGAGACATCTTTCTGTTTCTGCTGAGGCCAGTATGAATAGTCACATGCCATTGGGCACAGAACATAACAGGGATTGAAGGTTTTCAATGTGAATCATCCATAAAGGAGAAATTCAGAGTTGGCTTATCCTTAGCAAGGTTATTTTAGGAGAAGGGGGCAGTAAAAAAGATCTTTGTTCAAGTAACTCCTTGAGTTGGCATCAGGGCTTCTGAGGGCTGTATTTGGGGCTTCCCTTGCCATGTAGGCCACAGTCATTCAACTGACAGATGGCTCTTTAAGGGGCAGGGGAAACTGGAAGGGTAATTCAACAATCCTCTCCCCTCCCCCAGGATATTTTTAGGGCTGTCTTGAAATCTTTTCTGGCCATGTGAGTGGGTCTGGAGAATATACAAGAGTCTTCCAAAAGTTCATGAAGATTCATTCATCTTATCTTTTAATTCTGTTTTTCCATGAACTTTTTGAAGTACCCTTGTACAACTCTGAAGCATCCAAAATATTAGGAAGAGAGATAGAGATGCCAAGAAGAGACTCAGGCCAAATTTCATATATTCTCATTTGCCCTTTTGGTTTTCCCTTCAACCTCTTTTGACAAGCAACTGTTCCTTCAATTTTCCTGGCTTGTAGAGCATGGCATTAACCATTTGAGATGGTCATGCATTTTCTTCCAAATACCCCTATGTGAGTTCTCATAATGAAGATGACCTACTTTAATATGTACTTAATATTTAATACTAAGTTGCTTTCCCCTCTCCCTATACCATCCAGTTTCTCCACCCCCCACAAGTTAATATTTGCTTAAGAAATGCACACTTATTTGAACGTTAGCCAGAACCAAATGCCATCAAGAAAGTAAACACACAAGGGGAAAGATCTCGTATGGAATGCATTTCAAAGTCAAGTATAAAGTATTTGGTGAATTTATCTGTGGCCAGTCATGCCACTGTTCCCATTGGCCTGGCAGCCAGTAGTTGGCTGCATTTCCTGTTTGTCCTCATACTGTCCTTGACACACCAGATCAAGTATGCAGAAGTACTTTGAAAAGTTAAAAGCAATACTCTTGAAGTTTCAGGCCAAATCATTATGTTGCCCATATAATTCGAAGCTAAATCAGAAACACACAAGCTGGAACACTGGACAAAGGCCACACAGAATTGGCGTTAGAACCTGGGGATGCTTCTGATCTGTGCCCCTAAGCATTCCACCCAAGACTGAGCAGAAGAAAGGCCCCCTGCCATCTGCCTGCCTGGCCCCCAGAGCTGGGCGCTAGTGGGCCAGTAGCCTGACGTCTCTGCCCTCCCCGGTGCCTCCAGTTTCAGAAAGCAACTCTAGCAGGTTTGCAGAGTAGCACCAGGGAAAGGTTTCCAGCTCTTCAGCATTCCTTCCCCACAGCAGGGTGGTTCTCAGGCCCCGCCAGTTTCTGTGGAGGGAGCTCCCTCTCATGGCCCTTTCTCCCTCCCCTTGTTCTCTCCTGCTCCCCACAGAGTGACAGCAGCTACGACTTCCTGTCTGCTGAAGAGAAGGAGTGTCTGCTCTTCCTGGAGGAGACCATTGGCTCATTGGACACTGAGGCTGACAGCGGACTGTCCACTGATGAGTCTGAGCCAGCCACAACCCCTCGAGGTTCCCTAGTGCTGCCCCTAACCCAGCCTGCTCTCCAGGGTAAGACAGACGGTCTGGGGCAGCCCCTCTAGCAAAACCCAGAAAATCAGCATATCCTCTGGCCTCTTTCCACTTGCCTGCCCTCTGCTGCAAGAGTCACAGGCAGAAGAAGGAACAATGGCCCTCCCCACCACTCTCCTGGAAAGAATAAAGCCTCATTCCTGGAGGGAAGGAGGAACACTGACAAGTCAGCTTTCTATACCTTTCTATGAAGAGTCAAAGGCCGGGGAGGGAAAGGAGATTGAGCAACTCCCATCCTGTCATGGAGAAATTCTAAAGAGATATGATGGAGGTGGGGGAGGGAGTCAGGGAGGCTGGGTGCCTGGCTCTGGAGAGTCAGTCTGAGGAGCTAATCTGGGTGGCCCAAAGGACAGGCTGCAGTAGATAAGAGAGGGGAAGGGCTCCCCAGCTACAGTGGGTGGTGCCTTGAGGCCCTTGTTTGAGTGTGGGGAGCTGATGGTGTTCAGGCTCAGGAGAAGGGAACAGGATGACACACAAGTGTGGCCATGAGTGTGGGGCCATATATCCCAGGGTATGAAGAGCACTTTATTCCTGAGTACAGTCCCACTGGTATCGGGGCTGCAATCATTCATTTATTCATTTAGCACATATTTATTGACAATGCATTAGACCCTCCCTGGAGACAGAGCCGTGACGGGGGGCTTCACTGCCCCTTAAGGCTGATTCACTGGCCCAGTCGGCCTGAGGCACCTGCCTAGCTCACTGGAGGAAAAGAAGCCATGTCACTCTCTGGTGCAGGGACCCTGGCTAATACAGAATCAAGGTGCTCATAGAAAGTGAAAGTAGAAGGCAGAAGCCTGGCCAAATTGAGAGCAAGTCACTTGTTCATTTGCTTCCACTGGGCTCAGTCACCTAGCAGCCCCAAGATAGCTAGAGGGAGCTGTCCTGAATCCACCTCCAGCACTGGTGCATCTTATAGAAGGCTGGGGCGTGCCTGAGTTCAGGATATGGAGCAATTAGGGGCTAACCTCTTCCCAACCCTCATGAAAAATTAATCCTCAGTGGAAAAGAATCTGCTATTATTTAGACCCCTGTGAGTCTAAATGGTATCCAGGCAAGAGTGCTGCCCCTTCACAATCAAACAAAACAAAACAAATAAAATAAAACCCATTCATTGCTAGTTGGAGATCAGAGTTCAAGAAGTATTTGCTTTCCCATCTGCAGCAGGACTCTCACCTCTGCCTGGTCTTTTGTAACTGTTCTCCCTGCTTTCACAGGAAGTCCAGAGGAGACAACTGTTCAGCAAGGATCAGAACCAAGGAGAGTGACTCAGTCTCGCTCATCCCATCCTCCTGAGCCCCAAGGCTTGGGCCTCAGGTCTGGCTCCTACAGCCTCCCCCGAAATATCCACATTGGAATAAACCAGAACCTCAAGAAAAGCACCACCCAAACTAACAGCCACATCTCTGAAGACTCTGTGGGGCTTGGACCAGAGCCTGTGAGAGAGCAGGTCAGCCAGAGCAGTGAGCCCAGCCAGGTACCAGCCAGCCACCAGGAGGCTGCCCTTGATTTGGACGTGGAGCTCATCCCCCCACCAGAGGCTTTCCAGGACACTCAGCCAGCGCAGTGTGGGGAAGACAGCCTGCCTTTGGGGCCAGGACAGCAGAGCTACCCACCCCAGCTCCACACGCCTTTTAGTGTCCAGAAGAGAGAGGAGACTTCTTCAGAGACCATGTCCCAAAAAGCCAATGAGAAAGGCTCAATAGGGGGCCCAAGACAATCACAGTCTCCTCCTGCTGTGTCCTGTCAGAATGCTAGACCTGAAGACACTCCCCTCCCCTCAAGGGGAGATCCAGATGCCCGACTGGCATCCCTCACAACCCCCAAGCTCCGGAAGCTGCCACCTAATATTGTTCTGAAGAGCAGCCGAAGCAGTTTCCATGGCGATCCCCAGAACTGGCTGTCTCGCCATGCTGAGGCTGCCCCTGGAGATTCCGGCCTGGTCTCTTCACTGCAGGAGCAAAGGAAAGCACGCAGAGAAGCACTGGAGAAGCTGGGGCTACCCCAGGACCAAGAGGAGCCCAGCGTCCTCTTAAATAAGCACACCAGCTCCATCAGGCTCAAGGAGACTCGAGCTCAGGCCCCTTCCCTGGCTCTGGCTCAGCCTGCAGTTCCAGCTCAGGTCTCAGCGGCTGTTCCTGCTACAGGGAAAGCTCCAGCTCCAGCTCCAGCTCGGGGGCCTGCTCCTGCTCCTGCTCCT